TTTGCATAAGTTTTCCTGAAAAAGACATCTAGGGTGGCATGCCTTCAAAATTATATTTATTCTAAACAAACTCAGAGTGACTTCTCAAGCTATCACACCCAATCATTTTTTTTTCTTCTCTATTATGTGGCAAATGTGAAATGAAAACATCAGAAAAATGATGGTTTCATTTCTCCTCCAGAATAAATTATATTAAAGGAACAAAAAGATAGGGATGCTTTCAAATAAGTATTTAGTATCGTTTAGTCTTTAACAAGCTTTATTGTTTCTTTTTCTCATAAAAATGTGATTTTCTTTGTCATTTTAGGTGCTTAGGACAAAAATGGGGTGTGTGTGATATATATAGATATATACACACATACATACACACCTCTTGTGTTGAAGTAGTTTGTGTCTTACTCTTACATATACATTGAGTAGACCAAAAACTGCTTGAAGACATATTATTTATCTTCATATCCCCTATCATACTATATGGCACATGGCAGGGCTGTCATCATGTGTAGAAGTCTGTTAGGTATAAAAATAAAATAACAAGAAGTGCTTTACTTTACTTCGCTCTCCACCTCCAAAGAAGACTGTGACCCAATGGTTCCCTTCAGTACAGAAGGAAAGAAAGGAAGAAGGAGATAAAGAGAAAGAAGGAAGGAAGTGGGTGGATGGAGGGAAGGGGAGGGGAGGGGAGGGACAGGAGAGAAACTTAAAATGTGAGAACAGAGCTCAGGAGAGGTCTGAGCATTTTCCTAATGAAAGGTGGAGTTGAAGCTCAAGAAGAGCTGTGGCAGTGTTGAGGCATCTGAAGAAAGAGAGAGAATTCGAGACCAAATGTCCACTTCGAACCTTGAGAAAAAAAAAAATTAAAGATGAAAGGAGGACTGGGCAGAGAAGCAGAGAAGTTGTAGCAGGGGATAGCTCCGCAGGGTGGGCACAGGGAAGGACAACCTTAAGAAGCTGGGATCAGCAGACAGTGTTGCTGTGAGGGAATTCATGGAAGAAATGCAAAAAGCCATCGCTTCATGAAATGGCCTGAGACTTTTAAAGTTTTTGTTGTTGTTGTTGTTTTCAGACATAGGTGGGGGAATCATGGAGTTTGTTGGAAATCTATTTTAAGAGTTTCTATAAAAGGATTTCACAAGTTAGCACCTCTTGCCAAACACAGAGTGTCTGAAGTTATAAAACTGTGAGTCTCAAGATGGTGGAATGAGATGGACATCATTACCCCAGGTACATGCATGACTGCACAAATGGTGTGACGCTACATGGTGTCCAATCAGAGAAGCGAAAACTCGTGCTGCAATTGTGTACAATGAATCAAAATGCATTCTGCTATTATCATATATACCTAATTAAAATAAATTGGTAAAAAATTAAAAATAATTTCAAGTTAAATTAAAAAAAAAAAACTAAGTTTCTGAGAAAAGAAGCTGTGTTGTATTTTTTTAAATATGCTACGTTGTTCAGCACGGCATCAGGCACCCAACATGTGTATAATAAATATGGTTAAATTGACTGGCCACAGCACCAAGAAGAACTGCATTGTCTGGATGGAGCTGGGAGGTTGAGATGGAGATGAGCAACCCTAGTGAGGCTCTCTGCTAAAGCTAGGAATCCAGGAAGAGAAAGAAGCCAACTTTACTGCAGCGATAAGAGTGTAAGCCGACTTTACCAGTCCCTGAATCAAAAGTGGAAAAGTCTAGTTGAGTAGGAAGAGAGTGAATTGGTACTGAAAACAGATTTAGGCTAGAAGTAACTCTTAGAACAAAGAGCTCAATTGTTAGTTACTATCACTCACTTCTTTCAAGATTAATATGCAAAAATAGATTTCCTTTGTTATTATTGTTATAGTATGTATGAAGCTTAAGAATCTAAGAATTCTGCTTTTAGGAAACTCACCATGATGAATAAAGAATGCTAGAAGTAATTAAATTTTATTTCTCAAAATATTGCAAACATGAACCATCACTGGATTTCTTGCCTATCCTTAAGACAGAGAGATTTATGGTGATTGTTACCTATATGATAAATCCATAATATTACCATAATTATAATGTCCTTTAACAATGTTTCATCATAACTATCTTTTTAACCTACAGAACCCAAAATGTTTATAAAAAGCTTGTTAAATTTTACAATCTAGAAGGATCCTAATGATACCATGAAAATTTCAGCACATATAAGACTGAACCTGAAATGGATGGAAAAATGGCCCAGTGGGTAGAAACTTGAATTGGCCATAAACATCAGGAATGGAGAACAAGCTTTCCAAAGTGAGGCCGTGGCCCAAATTCCACTGAAGCCAAATGACTCTGGGTAGAAAAAAGTAGTCCAAGCTTGTAAAAAGAAGTCCCCTATCTGCATATTACTTGACCTCCACTCCTAGGCAATGGCCTGGACTGATGCCAGGAGGACACAGTAGCTTTTCCATTTATTTATTAGAATATCAACCAGAGGAGAAAACATCCTGAACTTTATGGAGAAGCTCAACTAAGCAAAGCATGAGCTAGGGCAGCTGAAGGCTCTTGGTGAGCAGGGGCTGCAGAGCAAACCACATCTCGAAGTTGTGTGAGATGGGGTAACACATTTGCATGGTCCCGGATGGTCTCAATTTGGACATCACCCCCCCAAGAGAAATCAAGGGCAACTCCCTTGTCTCTATGCTCAATGTTTGCAAAACTGCATTTTATATTCTGACTTCTGACTTCTGACCCTCAATGTACCTTTAACTCGTAACACCATTTTGAGCAAGCCAGCTAAGTCAGTTTGCTGGGGGAATTTTGAGCAGTAATAAAATCCCCACATCACAATTAGAAGTCTGATCAGAATTCACCTGAGAATGTCATCTAGGTGAGAAAGCAAGAATATCTTCAAAGGAAAATTAAACATTTAAGCCCAAAATATTTGATTTCTAAGTTTGATTTCACCGATAAAAATGATTGAAGTATTTGGGGATCTTATTTCTCTTATGTTCTTTTCAATGATTAGGTTTTACGAAAATTCAAAGTTGGGCATTGACTTATGTAGAATAATAATTTTTTTTTAAATGCCCACAAAATTTAAAAATGCAGATCTTGTTACAAATTGCTGTATGTGAAGACCAAATAAGGGACATGAAAACTTCCAATAAATTAGTAAGTTTATTATTCCAAATTTCATAGAAAGAGACCCAGGAAAACACAGTGTTATATATTTTATAAAAGACATATTATACAATATATAGTCAGATATATTTTATTATTCCCATTCTCTGTGATATCTCATTTAATAGCCAGATAATTAAAAAGCCATATGTTCACAGTAGTTTCATTTCTGTCATAGCTGCACCTTTGAAAAAAGATACATTTGTTCCCACAAGCACATGGTTAGAATCCAGCATCTAAGGTGTTACATATTGGCTTCAGGAGTGGGCTCCCTCTTAAGGTTGTTCACTAAATAGGGGGCAAGTGTCCTGAAGAAGATTCATGAACAATAGGAGAGGGAAGGTCACCATCTAAAGACTTAAAGTACATTTTCAAAAATATAAAGCACAAAAGAATAGCACTATGGTTTTCTAAAAAATAAAATAATTAAAACATCTCAACCTCTAGTACAAATATCTCAGGTTCCAAGAGGGAGAAAAAGATAGTATTCCCCCATAATTACCTTTGAAATGAACTGCACTCTGTTTTTGATGATTTGGTCTTTAAAGCACATAATTTACTAAAAAGGAAAATAAGGAAGATGGCAAATACAAGTTTTATTTCCTATATTGGCAGACTTCTCTTTTGTTTCACTCCCATTACCTTTTAATTTTCTGCAAATCAATTCATTCCCAGATGATCAAAAGGCTAAAATGGGCTCTGCTCTTTCATCAATTCCACATTTGTCTAGGATCAGGAAATTACTCCATTATGTTATTAGTTCAAAAGCTTCTCTTGGTAGTTCCTAAATCTCCTCCCAGGCCCTTCCCTCCAATTCTCTCTCTCTCTCTCTCTCTCTCTCTGCAGGAGCAAAATGCCTGACAACCCTTTAGGAGAGATGCAAGAAATGCTAAAAGACTAGGACTTAGATATTCCTTCACATTATTCATTCCCTTTTCTCATGGCCCACCCACAGAGAAAGGTATGGTATGTGAGCATGTGTGTGTGAGCATGTGTGTGTGAGTGTGTGTGTGTGTGTGTGTGCGTGCGCATGAATGTGTGTGTGTGTGTGTGTTCAGGTTCATGTTTCACCCTTTCAAAAAAATATTTTGTTAACTTATTAAAAGCATCAACTCTGAAATCCTAAGCATCTGGCAAACTGGTAAAAAACACACCCCAGGTTTATGTGGGTGAAATTAAAAGTTCAAGTGCCTGTGTGCAGGGTGGTTATTAAAATTAGCATTCAAATGAGAGATGGGATTCAAGGTGTGTCTTTGAAACTTTGGACTGAACCATTTCTGGACTACCAAGCAAGTCCAGGAGTGTCAGCCAGCAGCCCTAGAGATGTGCTGTGTCAGCAGGCACCAGGACCAACCAGCCCCCGCACCACACCTAGAAATGCCAACCAAGAGACATGGGTTGCAAACTCTGGGGCATCCAGAGAAGCAAAGAGGAAATGGGGGAAAGAGACATCTCTCTCTCTCTTTCCCTCCCTCTCCTTCTCCCTCTCCCTCCCTCTCTCCCTCCCTCTCAGTCTACCAGTCTCAGACACACCTACCAAAGCTCCAGGTTTTGGGAACCCTTCCCTCTAGGGCCCACACCAGCGTGTTCCCCAGCAGGTAGCTAGGACACCATCCCCAGGCCCCACACAAGCTTGCTTAACATTGCAAACGCTTCCCTTCCACTCATCCAAGAGCACCCTAACCAGCTTGATCCGAATCCGCCCCAAATAAGCCTCGGTTTGCCTCTGGAGCAAGTCAGTGTTGAGAGCAAAGGCACCCGGCAGCCTCTCTCCCACTCCTACCACCATCATCCGCGGGCGGCCCCGAAGTGGCACCGGGATGGGAGACCCCTGGGAGGGATCGCGCGTTCCCTCTCACTTACTTTGAGTTGCAGATGTCCTCGGGGCGCGCAGGCTGCCTTTGTTGCACGGGGCGAGGTCTCTCTGCCGCGGCCGGAGTCCAGGTAGGGCTTGCTCTGCTCCCGCCTGGGCGGCTACCGCTCTGCCTCCTCCTGGACGGATGACTCTGGCTTCTTTCTTCCCCTCTCTCCACTTTGGATTTTCCTACGCTCTGGGGCTCCCTTGGCGGGATTTTTGGACTGGAAGGCGGGGAACCTGATCCTGCCTTTGACTCAATTACTCCCTGACTGGGAGGGGACGGAAGGGAAACGGAGAAGGGGAGGGCTGAGAGGACGCAGGCTGGGCGAGGGAGGGAGAGCGCTTTGGCCCGAGAGCTGATTGGGAAGCTTATTAAAAGCAGAATACTCCAGGGGCAGTCTCTCCCCACGGAGCACGAAAAGGGATTTGAACCAAGAGGCCAGGAGATGCAAGATCGTTTTGTTTTCAGCAGAGCCCCAACACGATATTTCTTTTCCAAACTCCATGCACGACCTATTCTTTCTATGGGTGCCAGCTCCTGTTTACCAAGTAGGATGCCTTAAAGGGACAATGGGTGGCATTTTAGCTTAGAGTTTGGGATCTGCACAATTGAAAGGATGATATTCGAGATGAAAAAAACACAGTCTTTAAATCCAGCCGCTCCTTCCTCCCCCCTGACAACCGCCCTCCCTGCACGGAGCCCCAGTTAATTTCAGCTGTCAGTCGCAGCCCACCTGCAGTCACAAAACCTGTAAAGTACTTTTTCTGGATTGTCACAAAGAGTGGCAGATCTCTGAAAGTTCCCAATTAAGTGCCACTTCCCTTTAGGGGGCTTTTTCCTTTTTGGGCTTCCTGGTGCCTCTAGTGACCTATTTAGTGACATGATTCTGCAGCACTCAAGAATTCAGGGGATTAATCCAAGGGGCTCAAACTTTGAGGTTTGTAAAACGCAGAGATTGGAGATCCTGTCTTCCTGGAACTTGCGTTTCTTTTAGTTGAAGAAAAAGGCTGAAGTAATAGATCTAGGGTCCAATGAGACTCCCATAGATCAGTATCTATGATATAAATGAGATAAATTATAAAAATGATTAGGAAGCTTAAAGCGTATTTACCCAAACATTTTCAAAATGTAAGTATTGAGATTTTAACCTCATTCATTAGTTCTTTCCTGCTCCTCGGCTTGCACCTTTTATTTCCTTTCAGTTTATTAGCTGCCACCTCAAAGTAGTTGTAAAATATACTTCCATTTCCCATAGTTCTGAGTTTGCATCTCTTGGATTCAACTCGACAAGTGCTTATTAAGCCCTGTATATAACTAAAATTTACATTTCTTAGGACCATTCCTAAATCCCCAAATTAGGGGCATTTTTTTCATGGCAGATAGTTTTTTAGGACTCAGAGCTCTTCTATTGACTGCTACCTGGACAGATGTCCCATTCCTGCAAGTAGAGCTTTAATAAATCAATCAACCCATCAATCAAAAGAGGAAGCATCAAAATTTTATTTACAGTCAGGTGAGGTGGCACACATCTATAATCCCAGCAACACATGAGACTGAGTCAGGAGGATGGCAAGTTTGAGGCCAGACTCAGTAAGTTAGGGAGGCCCTCAGCAACTTATTGAGATCCTATCTTAAAAAAGAAAGAAAGAAAGAAAGAAAGAGGGAGGAAAGGAAAAAAAGACTGGACATATAGCTCAGTGGTAAAGAGGCTCAATACAAAAATAAAAAAGTATATATTTATTTACAGCCCCAATCAAATTCTCAATTCTACACACATAATTACCCCAAAGGAAATAAATAAATAAACAAATCAATATAACAAATTCTCTTCCATCTAATCTTAGACTTTAGGTTATATGCTTTTCTTTTATGATTACATTTTCCCCAAGAAGCAAACAATCTTTGTTTTAATCCTGTTGCACCTATATAAATCACATAGAAGGGCATATTCTCATTTTTTATTATTTTCCCAGATCCTTTATTGAAAGAGATGTCTCAGCATTTCCTATCTCTTTACAAGAATGGAGCTCCAAGGCCATTAAATAAAGGGTATGTTTTCTTTTTCTCTTCCTGAACTTTACCTTCACATCTACCAGGGCTACATGCGACCACCATTTAACATGAACCATGCTGGCTTGATTATGGTGCTTGATGATACAGTTTAAAAAGTAAGCATGAAATTTTTATGATTTCTACTTAATTACATGTGTTATATCAGAAATACAATCTTGTTTTTTTTCAACAGGTGTTATAAAAATATATATATTATATATAATATAGATATAGTATATAATATATACATATAATAATTACAAATTATATAAGTACATATTATATAATCATTGTTATATAATATATAATCTAGATAGCATATACATATAATATGCTATCAAAAGTGTCATATAATAACATAACATGGTATATAATATATTTTGTTTAATATATTTAATTGTCGCTGAATCTTTATTTAATTTATTTATTTATATGTGGTGCTGAGAATTGAACCCAGTGCCTCACACATGCCAGGCAAGTGCTCTACTACTGAGCTGCAGCCCCAGTCCACTATGTAACATATATTACATAATTATATACAATACATATGATGGATGGTTCTCTGTTGCAAGCACTGCTGCCTTGTGGCAATAGTTGGCATTATCTGGAGACATTTTGGTTGTCACAGCTTGAGGGAAGGGGTTGCCCTGGCAGACAGACAAGAAACTAAACATCCTGCAATGATCAGGCCAGCTCCCACCACAAAGAATTATTTGACTCAAAATGATAACAGGGTCAAAAATGAGAAGTTCTGACTAATATTATTTACAATTGTATTTTTAAAATAAAAAAGAAGATAGAGTTTTTTATTATAGAAATCTATGAGAATGAGATTTGACCTAATTTAATTCATTTTCACCCAAGTCTAAGTAGAACATACTCTTCAATATATCCTTTTATGCTCAATCTCAGACTTCATTAAGAGGCGTAGCCCTATTAACTCAAGACTTAAAGTCATTTCATTCATTTGGCCTCAGTGTTCTTTGAGTGCCTCAGTTTTTGATTGATTTTCTTTTTTTTTTTAAGGAGGGGGCGGGGGAGAGAGAGAATCTTTCTTTGTAGATGGACACAACACAATGCCTTTATTTTTATGTTATGCTGAGAATCGAACCCAGGTCCCGCCTGTGCTAAGCAAGCGCTCTACTGCTGAGCCACAATCCCAGCAGGATTGATTTTTTTTTTTTAATTTTTTATTGTGGGTTGTTCAAAACATTACAAATTTCTTGACATATCATATTCCACACTTTGATTCAAGTGGGTTATGAACTCCCACCTTCACCCCATACACAGATTGCAGAATCACATCAGTTACACATCCATTGATTTACATATTGCCATACTAGTGTCTGTTGTGCTCCGCTGCCATTCCCATCCTCCACCCTCCCCCCTCCCCTCCCCTCCTCTCTCTCTACCCCCTCCACTGTATAACCCTGAGGGTCTCCTTCCATTACCATGATTGATTTTCTTTTGATAAAGAAAAACAGACAAAAATCCTGATTCTCAGAGAGCTTATATCTTTGTTTCTAACTAATTAATTAAATTTAGAAAAAAAAAGATATGGTGTCATGAGAAAAATAAGACAATGAAGAAAAATAACCATGTCCATTTGGGGAAGAAAATTTCCCTGGGGTGAAGTCTGAGTAAAGACTTAAGAGTTGAGAGAGGAATTTCTAGGCGAAGGGATGAGCAGCTGCAAGGCTCTGGGTTCTGCCCTTACCTGGGCCTGAGTTTTAGCAGAACAGTGAGGAGGCCACTGTGCTAGCAACTGGGTGAGGTGGGCCAATGTCCAGGGCAGTAACAGGCCGGGCCATGTTCAGCCTGCATCCACTGTAAGGATTCCATTGTACTCTGCATGACATGGGCGCTCAGCCTCTCCCAGCATAATTAATGAGCCCCCTGCATATTGTGGCTAGGCTAAAGTGCAACTAAGGCAAGTGATTTGAAATCATAGGAATGATAACACGTCCTAAGGGAGTTTTGAAAAGGAGGCCATTGATTCTGTGGCAACAAATAAAAAGAGGAGGGTGATCAACATAAAGTTTAAAATCATGCGGGAACCTGGTGAAAATTCATCATCGTTCTTCCAGGAGTGTCTCCTTGGAAGGACATATGGATTCTTGATGACCCCTCCCAGGTCATCAACATTCCTAGAAGGCAACAGGACATTTCTTCAAGTTTTCACAGTTTGATAGAATCTGCTCCAATACAGTTTCATTCTCTCTTTAAATGTAATAAAAATTTTTTTAAAGTATTTATAATTAGTGTGATAGATTATAAAACCACATATCTGTTATCTACATAATTATTTATATTAGATATATTTTCATAACACTTATGCTCTTTTTTGACTGCAAAAAAGACAGAAAGTATAAGTAAAAATGACTTCAACAATTCAGGAATTTATCTCAACAAAAAACATAGGTTGATAAAAATGTGTCCTTCAAAGTTTCCAGGATTTAGGTCTTTTGTCTACTCACCTTCAGTTGTCAAATAAAGGCTCTTAAATATGTCTCAGGGAGTCTCAGGTATATTTGGCTTTTAAAAGTGAAGCTGAAGGGTGGGGGATGTGGCTCAAGTGGTAACGCGCTCGCCTGGCATTCGTGGGACGCTGGGTTTGATCCTCAGCACCACATACAAATGAAGATTTAAAAAAAAAAAAAGATGTTGTGTCCACCGAAAACTGAAAAAAAAATATTAAAAAAAAAAAATCTCTCTCCTCTCTCTCTCCCTCTATCACTAAAAAAAAAAAAAAAAAAAAAAAAGTGAAGCTGAAGACTCAAATCTTAGTAGAGTCAACCTCCCCAGCCACTTAGCCACACAGAGCATTCCCGGTAAAATGAAGAGGTAGAAACAATCTGGGAAGCAACCAACAATGCCTGTTAACTTTTTCCTGAAATTTTATACGTTTACGCTTTATCAGTCTCTTATGAAACTAACTAGCTTGACTTAATCCACTAAACCTTGTCCATTTATAAATTAATTAATTTATTTATTTGCTCTAATTTGTTATACAGGACAGCAGAATGCATTTTAAATCATAGTACACAAATAGAGCACAATTTTTCATGTCTCTGATTGTACACAAAGTAGCCACACCATGGGTATCATCATACATCTACCTAGTTAATGATGTCTATCTCATTCCACCATCTTTCCTATCCCCATACCCCTTCCCTACCCCACCCTCCCCTATGCCCTATCCAAAGTTCCTCCATTTCTCCCATGCCCTCCCCCACTTTATGGATCAGCATGTACTTATCTGAGAAAATATTTTGCTTTTGGCTTTGGGGGATTGGCTTACTTCACTTAGAATGATATTCTCCA